GCAGTTTAGAGGACACAGCTCGGGGCAGCCCGTGCTCAGGGCAGGGACGAGGAGGGGATGAGGCACCCCACACCCTATTTTCCCCCCAGCCCCACCACCTGGTCCCCAGCAGCCGTGTAGTTGTTAAGGGCTTGTCCCCCCAGTTTACAGGTAGTCATTCACCTGGAGCATCCCCATCTTCCTTCACAAGAACAGCAACTCCTAAGGTACACACCAATACGCTAAGTGCTGTGCTGTTTTTACTACTACCTTTAAACACTAAATGCTCCCCTTTACTGAATGCAGAACACTGCTGCCTAATGCATATATTTTATAATAACAGAATCACAGAATCATAGAAGGGCCTGGGCTGGAAGGGACCTTAGAGATCATCTAGTCCAACCTCCCTGTCATGGGCAGGGATGCCTCCCAACTAGATCAGGCAACACATGGGGACGGAGCGGGAATCGAACTCGTGACCTTGGTGTTATCAGCATCACGCTCAACCGACTGAGCTAATCTTGGACTTTTTAAAAGCATGTTTGTAGAACTGCAGATTCACGCTGTGCAGAGGCAGCATTTCTCACGCAGGAGTATCTCTGCAGGTTGAAAAGCACGTAGTGGCAGAAGAAGCAAAGATAAAACAAAGTGGGTAAACCCGAGGTGATCAATCTCTTACCCATGTTGGGCTGAAGGAAGTTCCGGGAAACACCCGCCAAGAGATGAAGTCTGGGGAGCGCACGATCACCACACAACACGCAACTGCCACTGCCTGCAGCAGTTACAAACCTGCCTTCAAGAGGGAAACCGTTCAGTCCGCCCCTTGGAGCAGTAAAGGGAACACCTCACCCCAAACTGGCCAAGCCAAAAGATGGCAGAATGGACAACTGCAGATGAAGAGGGCATGCAGGAGCTCTTTGGCAGGCCTCTCTCCCTTTACATGTGCCCATGGTAGTAGAAAAAGCATATATGAACTTTTCTTTTTTTCCCTCTCTTTAACAGCACACCTTGCAGGGCTCTAGGTGCAAAGAATAGCTGTCTTCTCTGTTTCTCTGAGGTTTGGGGTAAAACACAAAATGAGAGAAGCAGCAGTGAAGCAGTATCATCCCTTCCAAGGTGAAAAGCACAGGCTAAAAATCCAGTGTTTCCCATGGATGAGAGAGTGACACAGTGTATATTTCAAGTTTAAAGTCAAAAATACCTGCAAGCACTAAGCACACCCACCAAAAGAACAAATTACGTGCTATCAGCCCCCTGCGTCCCCAAAAGGTGAAACTTTTTCAGCCATTCAGTAGACTACACCTACATTGTAAAAGGTTATTTGACAGCATCAAAAGTTTTGAAACTACAGCCAAAATGCCATTAGAAGGAAAAGCTACATATACTGCCAAGACACACATGTAAGGCATAACAGGAACTAAATTGAAAGAACGGCCAAGTAATCTTTACTGACATCTGGAGAAGGCAATGTAAAAAAATCACATCTCCATAGTCAGAGTATTTCTGGTGGATGTAAAGTTCTGTACGAATTCTCACACAGATCAGAATCTAAAAGATATGTGAGCTGACTGAAGAGCTACCAGCGAGCACAGAACCACTGGCCCTAGCTATGGAAACATAAAGGCAAAGAGCTTCCATCTGGCAGGAAAGCTTACTCCGAGAAGAGTGTTTCTTTCCTGCTACAGACCTCATGTCACCAAAAAAAATTAAAAATTAAAACTCGAGCAACACAGCAGCTCTGAGCTTCCATTCAACAATACAGATAGCAGTGCCTGCAAAATAAAACTAGAGCCTCTGGCAAATAATTAAAAAAAAACTCTCTGAAGATGAAAAGGACAGGAAGTAGCATACTACTTGGAATTTTCTTTTCAATAACCATCACTCCAGTACTGTAACTGGAATTTCTGCCTAGCAGTGCAAGTTTTGTAACAAACACATTAAATACACTATGATGCAAAAGTAGCCTTTAAACTGTGGGTAGAGATGCATAAAAAAACCCACTGAAAATTATTGATAGCTTGGACGAAGCTTTGTAACATGAGTCTGCTGATAGCTTGCATACTGCCTTAAAAATTAGCTTCTTAATGGCTTGGATTATACATTTCTGCACAGAAGAGATTTAAGAACTGACTTACTGAAAATCTAAAAGGTCTGTATTTGTTGTCCTCATAGAGAAGCATACACATTACCCACCTTTCATATTTAACCCTCAAATACATTTGTTCAACAACTGAGTGTACTTTTCACAGTTCCTGCCCCCCTACCCACCCCCCGCTTCCCAGTGACTAGCAGAAATGTTTCATACCATTTTGTCAACATTTTCCAAATATAAAAATATAATGTTGAGAAGTATGGAATTTATACAAAAACCTTTTCCATAATTTGACCATTTTTTAACTTGTTTTGACCATTCTATGAACGCTTACTCAAAATTTATTGCAATTAGTGTGAGTCTAGATTCTGAAATACTTACATTAGGATGTCACTGACAGTAGCTCCCTATGATCCATCATCAAGTTCTTCCACTCCAAAGAACATATTCCCTTCCCTTTACAAATATCTTTAGGAAAAACTGTTAATTGATTCAGACAACTCACACGGTATGCAACTAAATGCTTTCTGAAGGAACAAATTATGTTCAAATTGTACTGGTTTATTTACAACTGTAGTTTATAAACAGTAACACAAACATCTTTACATGAAAAAAATCTCATTGTTGAAATAGGCACAGAGTCAGAGACTCTTCAGGATATTTTCAGAAGGGAATAGGAAGAGGAAAATGTAATACAACAGCTGCTGGGCAAAACTATAAATACATGAGCAGTCGCCCAGGTGCAATTTCATGCAATTATCTTCAACAGTTCAAGTTCTATTGGTGTTTAGTCAGATACTAAGGAAAAAAAAAAAAGGAAGGAATTAGTTCCAGAATTAAGGTGCCCTAGCTTGATTCCTAGTAAAATAACTTAAGATAACTGTTTTTTATAAAGGGCTGTTTATTTAACCTCCTGATGATGTTCCAATTCACAGGTTTTGATTGAAATACTCAGAAGGCTTCACGCAACAAAGCTAACCTCTATTATCTTTTTTTTCACAGTCTTGGTAGTTTCCACAACAGTCTACAAAGATGCCATGCCTCGGCCTTAAGGACATTCCTGTACTGTGCTTTTCAACAAAAGAACTGTTCTTGCAAGAAGTGGAAAGCTCCTGTTAAACAATCACACAGCTGCCATGTCTCATTAACTAATTACTCATTAACATTAATAACATTAATAACATTAACTAATAACTCATTAACATTAACTAATTTAGAAGATGTTAAAAGAATGTAAACAAATGTTTGAATCCATTAAGCCAATGTGTAATGAATACATTTGTCAGAGGTACATAGCACTTGAACTTCTTCAGTTTACTTGTGTGCATTCATTTTCTTGCTGAATATACCTTTGATCAGCACATGAACTCACTTCTGTGCTGAACCAAAGGTTTTTAAAAGGTCTAATAATTATCTTCCACATTTTGTTTCTGAGGAGCAGGGTAACTTGTTTTTAACTACTGTATTCTGTCATGAAACATCACACTCCTTTTTACATGAGAAAGAGCCTCAACCTATGAAATGGAAAATTTTTCATAATTAAAAAAAAACCCCACAAAATCACAACCCTGTAGTAAAAGTTTAATGCACACAGTTCATTTTGGTATTTAAAAATACCCTTACCACCAATTCCAATTATGTAACCTAGTTTAAACCTTTTTAAAATTTAATTTTACAAATTGCCTCCATTTTTTTTCCATTTATCTGCAGCTCAAGATCAACTTAACCGTTTCTCAAGAGAAGGAGTCAGTACTTCTAAGATTTTTATCTGCTCTGCTCACAGACATATGTTTTTAATCAGTCCTTGACGCTACCCAGTAGACAAAAATCAAATTTATAGACTGTAGGCAATGGAGACATTTCACTTTCAAGGATCAGCAATTTAAAAAGCAGTCTGTTTTCAACTGCTTCTCAGTATTTGGCAGTGCTTCATGCCTTTAATACACCTAATGCAAACTCAGCTGCATCTTCGCTTGCAAAGAAGCAGATCATCCACATTAAGATTGCATTAAAACTGAAACAAACTGACCTTTATAATAAACATTTATTCAAAAGAACAAAAAAAAGTATTAAAAAAAAATCCCATTCAGAAATTAATAATAATTTATCCTATCTTAAGCCTGCTACTCAGGCACTCCCATCAGCAAACAGAAAGTTTCTCATAAGTTAGTATTCAGCTGGAAAAGTGAGTTTGTGTCCACATATCTTGGTTGCTTCTTCTTTATAAAAAGTCTTTAGTTATTAGCTCTCCAAGGCATCCAATACTTTCATGATCTGTTGTTTTATGGCTTTGGTAGCATCACCTGCATTTGGAATCAAATACCTTAAAAAAAAATAAATTAGAAAGTCATCATTCATTCACCTGAAAAGTTTTGAGTATTAGTTCCATAACTCTTGTCTTAATTTTTCCTCTGGCATGAACTAAGAGCAACTACCATGGAAATAACATTTATTTCCTGTTTAAACTACCCAATACTTTCCATTTGTTGATAAATATTTCAGAGGCCATCCTGGAAAGGAAAAGTTCTTCATCAATTGACATGAACAGGCAGTTCATGATTTCTACTGATAGCACTGTCCGACTGAAGCATGGCAGTCCTCATTTGTTTTCTCTTGTCTGGGTGTTGGGGTTTTTTTTGTTGTTTTTTGCTTTTTTAAATTCCTATAGATAACTCTAGATCATTTATTTATGATCCTTTCTCTTCTGGATTTGCTCCAGTCAACACAGTGGTGATGAAGTAATTCACTGAGCAGCAAAGTTCTCTGCGACATTTTAATGTATCTTTGTCTGACCTGCTCTCAAACTAATTGAATTCCAAGCGGCCAAGAGGCACAGAACAACTTCCCTAGTTAGCCAGGAAACTCGCCTCCTGCTGCTTGTGAAAACAGCACCCACTGCACACAGCCCTTACCACTGACGAGGAAATGTCCAACTGGTGTCAGCAACTTTGTTAAAAGAGTGCCAAGCAACAAGAGGCTACACCAGTGGAAAAGTCCAACATGCCCATCCCTCTGACTTCCCCTCCAGTCTTAAGTACGCAAATGCTGAGCGTGGCAATACCTAACCTTCAGGAACTAGGCTTCAGGGTTTCTGAGTTTTGAGGTTAGGCTTCTGGACTTCTTGTACAACACACAGAAGGAGTCAGATATCTCAAAAAAGTTAACACAGAAGAAAGACCTTCACAAATCTGTACCTGAGGCTGCAGATACTTGACCATTTTCATTTACGATATTACAAAAAGAAAATGCATATATCCCATCGACAACAACTGTTGTTGTGGACCACAGCGTTCTTATCTGTGGGGTCCTCTTAAACTCTCCTTATTCTGCTGGAAGATCTTTTTTCTAGTTCACATATGAATTTTCTATTCCTAAACAAAAAAATATTACTTTTGAACTCAATTCAGGGAATTGCAGCATGCCTCTGGTTCCAATTGTCAGTACTCTGTATATCGTTACTAGTTACACCTCTGCTATTGCGACGGCTTACCTTTCAACTGCCAACACTTCTATGCCTGAAGTATTGCTATTTCCATATTTAAAGGTGATCAGTTCTGGGTGTTTCTTCTTGGATGTGATTTTGACTACAGAGTTGAGTGCCTGTCGAGACTGTATGTAAGCCAGTCCCTTTCGCGATGGAATCTCTCTCAAACAGTACATATGAGTTGCTGTTACTAGAAGATGACTTGAAAGAAAAGAAAAATACAAATTAAATTTGCTAATGAACTAAATATCAGCTATTTAGAAAGCTAATTTCTACCAAAAAAAGCTACATGGAGAGAGCAAGATAAAATAGTTTTAATACTTTTTAAATCTCTTATTTATAAAGGTCTACAAAATACTTCAGATATTCCTTGACTACTGTATCATAGCCATTTTTGAAAACAAGAATGGCATCTTCAATAACAGAGAAAACCACCCACAGAGTAAAGGAAACGGCTCCAGTCTCTCTCTTTCATCCTTCCATCACACCCCAGTCCCATCCCTCTCCCCACAGAGAGGCAAATCTAAATGAGGAGCATCAGACCTGAGTTAAAAGGACATGCTGGCACTCTACGATTGTCAATCACTGTACAAGCATGAACGTGGAGACGCTGACTTGCCAGTTCAGTTCAAGACTTTTGGCTTTTTCATGGAAGGAATGCAGGTACAACTAGTGGAGTTCCAGCTCAGTTTGAGAAATCAATACTATGACAGATTACTAATCGTATACTCTATAAAATAAACCCAATGGGGAAATAAAATTAATAGTAAAAGACAAGAACAGACCATGACGCAAGAGAAAGCCTGTGATAATTTTCTGTTATCCAGATTCAACAGGATTTGTACTCTTTGGGGAAGCCAAAATACAGCAGACATCATGTTCTGCTCTTGCAGAATTAACAAGGCTGAACCTTGGAAAGTAGCACAATGTGCAGAGACAAGACAGGAAAAACTGCAGCCATAGGTTCTTGGGTCTATCTGGTCTTGAAAAATAAGCCTATGTATACTGAGAATATCTTTCTTACTATCTTGTTTTGCATAGCAAAACTTCATATTAGGTTTTGTACATAATGACCATTCTATAACACTGCAAATATAACAGTAACATTTTGTTCTAGGTTGTTTCACAATATTAATTTCCTAGTTAAATGTAAAGAATAACTTTATTGCCTTTTCTTTTTTTTTCAGTTTTTAATTCCAGTACCTGGGAAACATATGTCCACTTTCTTTTACTTCATTACAGGGGAAGTTATACTTCACATCAGGTTTATTTATCCATGTTTGGATGTTGACGACCTCCTTTCGACCATCATCTGACATTGAGGAGCTGTCAATTTCATCTGTTTTGAAGGGAGAAGGTATACATTTTAAAAAAGAAAATATTTTCACACAACATCAGCCAACTTTTCAATTCACTTAAACCTATAGTAGCTACACTGGTTCAAACCAAGGTCCACCCAGCCATAAAACAATTGTTCAGAGGGAAGAAAGAAAAAGGCACGCATATCTAGTATTTTTCTTTTAATTCTCTCTCAGCAGACAACTATTTTTAGCTCAGGAGATTTCCTAGGCTAGTCCCTTTGTCCATTCAGTAAAATTTAATAGATCCCTTTACATAGACTTGTCCAGACTTTCTTTGAAGGCATGTAAACATTTTACATCTACACTTTTTCTGACTATTTACGTTTTACCAAAAACATGCCAACTACACTCCAAGAAAGCTTCTTCTTGTGGCTTCTAGTTTCTTGCACTAGAAGAAAAAAAACATCTGCTGATCCCTTTCCAGGCCAGGCATTATTTCTGTGGACCACTTTCCCTGACTTAAATTGCCCATTTCACATAACAGAAGTTCTCATATTCAGTTATTCCTGTTTCACATTTTTCCTCACCCTTCTTATCCTATCTCTCTCTGAAAATTCACCTGTTCAAACATTCTGTTTCTGAGGTAGAAGTCCAAGACACACAATATTCAATCTGTGAGTGAACTGCACGTTTTATACAGTGACATAAAGACCTGGTTTATTCTCTGTTCCTTTCCTCATAATTCCTAGCGTTCTATTTGCTTTTCTGCTTGCTAATGGGCACCTACTTATGATAAACCTACTGCTCCTGGACACAGCCAAATCAGCCTACCATTTTGTTTCTGAAACTAGAACTGAGTTTGTTGTTTAGGTTTTGGGGTTTTTTTTTTCCATCTTTCTCATGTCACATCAATACACACAGAGTTTCATGTGCCATTTTATTGCCTAGTCACTCAGGATAGCAAAAAGACTCTTTCAATTCCTTGGTCTGTCCTTACTACCTTGAACAACCTTGGATCGTTAGCAAAAATCATTGTCTTTGGGTTTACCTTCTTCTCAAAGGACGTTTAAGAACATACTCAAAATCAAAATTTTCAACAGAGACCTCTGTGAAACACCCAAAACTCACTTAGTTGGAAAATACTGGTTTTATGTCTAAATATGGTGATTGTGTCTACACAGCAATTTTGGTGGTGCATTAGAATTTAAGCAATCTAGTTATCTAAAACAATGACCTATATTAAATCCACAGAAATTACTCTCAGAAATAACATTGAAGGATGCCTCCTTAAAGCGTCTTTTTCAAAGTCAGTTTTCTACACTTTGTTTAACTATTTATTTCAAAGCAATTCAGAATTACAGCCACACTTCTGAAAAGGTTTTCACTGCAAAAATACATTATGAAATTGAAGGAAATGAAAAGAAAAAAATCCTAATTTCACAGAATCACAGAATGGCTGAGGATGGAAAGCCTCTCTGGAAGTCATGTGGTTTTCCTACTCAGGCAGAGCCACCTAGAGCAGATTTCAAGTACTGCAGCTAATTGAAATTATTTAATACAAATAATCTACTAAAACTTCACAAAAACAATTATACAGAAACAGGTTCACCTTTTGCATTCTTCTGTACCAAAAATACAATGTATTTTGCTTCATATGTGTTGGCTTTGCTTATTCAAATCATTGCAGTGATTCTGCCTACTTATTAAGTCTAATAGTGCTTTTAAAATCAAACGTAAATAAAAATTAGCGAACAACTGTCACTGAAAATATGTTCTAGACAATACATCTTTGAGGACTTGGTTTTTTGAAACCACACAAACTTTGCCAAACACTATTACAAATGCTCATAAGAACTGTGCAAACTTAATTACACAGCATTTGGAGAAGTGTCTTGTTAGTGTTAAAGCTTCTGCCCGATAGTTTAATTTTGTGTCTTCCTAAATCTTATAGCAGACAAACAATTATCAGCTGTTTGTCATCAACCTTATTTAAACAACTCTAAAACACTGAAGAGCTGTGCACACATAAGACATCTTAAGTCTAGCTTCAACTGTATTTTCAGAATTGGAGATCGTTACACTAACTGCCAATACTAGAGATTCAACCTGAGATCTATCAGCCAAACTAGGTCCTCTATATCTTCCTTACTATCATGAGTAAGAGAGGTACAACTGCAGGTTTACTTATGCAAGACCATTGTAGAAAAGTAGATCTTTACTACAGAAATAACAAGTGAACATGAATGATGCACTAAACGCATCTATTTTAGTTCTTCCTGTTGGATGCTTGGTGCCTACCACAGAATCTTTTTATTTAGTATGCTGTCATATATTTGAAGAGGGTGTTTCTATCTTGGTTGCTTTTAGGTGCCACCATAACAAACACTATCAACGATAATAGTTAGAAAAATGTCATATTGTAAGACAAAGCTGCAAAACACACTTCTATGATTTAGCCAAACTTAATAATTTTGTCTAAAAAAGCTAATCTAGGTAAGAGAAAAATCTCCTGTACCAGTGTCGTATTCTTCTTCATCTCCAATGCTGAATACTGGTTTCACACCACGGTAGGGTCTTCCTACCCTGTCACTGCTGCTGATGTGTCTGTTGGGAAAGAAAAGGGCAGGAGAGGACATGGAATGGGAGAAGAAAAGTAACTTTCAAATTGATGGTATGACTCCTACAATAACATACTAGCAAAATGTAAACACAACAGTGCAACTGAGAAGGAGAGAACTTCACGAAGCTGCCTGCAAAGAAGCCGTGACTGATCCGTCAAGCAATTTCGTTAGTGAAAGCATATGTTTCAGTTACTTAGCAAGGCTGACTGCTGTAAATAAAATGAAAATAAAGACTTCCTTGTTATTAAAAGGAAGCTAGGAGACTGACAGGAAGCAGGAGGACCCCCCTTCCCCCATTCCAGTAGGAAATGGTCATTGACCTACTGCAACACTTAGATGTTCACAAGTCTATGGGGCCAGATGGGATGCACCCAAGAGTGCTGAAGAAGCTGGCAGCAGTGATCACCAAGCCACTCTCCATCATTTATCAGCAGTCCTGGCTGACTGGAGAGGTCCCATCAGATTGGAATTCAGCTGATGTTACCTCCATATATAAGAAGGGATGGAAGGACGATCCAGGGAACTACAGGCCTGTCAGTTTAACTTTGGTCCCAGGAAAGCTGATGGAGTAGATCATCTTGAGCTGTATTATAAGATGCATGCAGGACAAGCAGGTGATCAGGCCCAGTCAGCACAGGTTCATGAAGGGCAGATCCTGTTTGCCTAATCTGATCCCCTTCTATGACAGGCTGACCTGCTTATACTGCTTACTGGATGAAGGAAAAGCTGTGGATGTTGTCTACCTTGACTTATCAAGGCATTTGACACAGTTTCCCACAGCATTCTCCTAGAAAAGCTGGCTGCCCATGGCCTGGATGGGCGTATTCTTGCCTGGATTACGAACTGGTTGGACAGTCAGGTCTAAAGAGTTGTGGTTAATGGAATTAAACCCAGCAGGCGGCCGGTCACAAGCGGTGTCCCCCAGGGCTCAGTGCTGGGGCCAC